ACAGTGAAGGAGAACCTGCTTTCTCGTCTGCGGGGGGAGGGAAGCCTGGCATTAGGGACGCTGCTGGAGGAGCCAGGCCAGTTTCCCCCTCTGCCCATGCATGGCCGGGCATCTCAGCTCAGTCCCTTGCAGAGGGAGGGCCAGCTCTCCACCTCCCCTGCTCCCCTCGCAGTGCCTTCCTTGCACAACCCTGGGGGTGGCCAACCACTGGGGGTGGTATTTTTCCTGTTCCCTTTTTCTGCCTGGGAGGCTGGCTTGGCTCAGGCTGGGCGCTCTCCCTGCTGGCAGCACCATGGGCACAGGCGGCACCAGAGCCCTCCTGCTGGGGCTCCTGCTCGTCTCAGCTGAGCTGCCCCCCACAAGGGCCAGAGGTAACCCTGGGAGCAGATGGGGCTGCTGGACTCTGAGCTTCCCTCTGCCCGGCCCTGCCTACAGCAGCCGAGCCGGGTCCCGCCCCCATTTTACTGGCCACAGCCCTTCTGCTCTTCTGGGGAGGTCTTGTCCTTCTCTCTGACCCCAAGGGAGTTTCTTAGGATCCCCTGGTGCAGGTTCCAGCGGCAGGAAGGGGATCTTGTCACCAGCCGGTCTGCCAGACGGTGGGTGCCCAGGGCAGGCTAGCAGGAGCACCTCCCCGCCTTCCGCCCCCAGCCCTTCCTCTGGGGCGCAGGAGGCTCTCCCGGAGGGCCAGGGACAATGCCACGGTGGCCCTTCCAGGCTGTCTGCAAAGCAGAGCGGCCTGTTCGCTGGGCCCCCTCTCCAGGCTGAGCAATGTCCTCCCTTGGAGCATTGCTGGTTGGGCGAGTTTGGGGCAAAGCCAAGAACGGGGGACAGAGATCCAGCTGTGCCCGCCCAGCCAGCAGCAGCTTCCTTCCCCACCCACAGGGCTGGACTGGACGGGGCTCTCTTCCTTCTCCCATCGAGTTGGCTACTGCTGGCACTCGCCCAGGCCCCCCGGGGTCCCCGGCGGAGGAGGGGGCTGTGGCGAGTGCAGCGGGGATGCTGGTTGCCCCCCTGAAAAGAAGTGCTGCAGGTCGGAGTGTGGGAACACTTGCCAGGCGCCCGAGCCAGGTGAGGGGCCCCACAGCTGCTTCCCCTTTCCAGGAGATGGGGGTGGGGGCAGGAAGGGGGAACACCACCTGCATCGTGTGCCTCTCCCCATGCCTGGAGCTGGCAATTCTGGGGGGCTGCTGGAGGGAGGATTTGGGAGCCA